CATAAACAAAGATTAATCCAAGCTAAACTGAAATATAAGCAAAAATTAAACCAACAATGGAGGGGAAGGTGAAAATGAAAATTGAGAAATGAATTAGGGCTAAGGTTAAATGTAAGTAGGGGAATGAATTGGGTTAATTTTTATGGATTGGGTTGGGTTGGGTTGGGTTGGGTTAGGTTGGGTTAGGTAAAATTGGGTTAAGTTTAATTTTGATTGAATTGAGTTTGAACTTGAGTTTGGATTTGTGTTTGGGTTTGGATTTGGGTTTGAGTTTGAAAGATGAATTAAATTTAAAATAAAATTAATTTATATTTGTTTTAATTTTTGCGGTGATGGGGATCCCTGCGGGGCCTCGCGGGACGGGGAAAATTCCCCACGAACTTTCGCAGGGGGAAAATGCTCCCCATCCCCGTCCCGCGGGAAGGAATATTCCTCCCCGCCCCGTCCTCGTGATGGAGATCTCCACGGGGCCTCACAGGGATCGGGGGAAATTGCCATCCCTAATTAAGAACAACAAATAATTAATTGTGTTTCATTTTCTATTGTAGTAATTAGTTAACTATTCAGGGTTAAACTAACATAATGAACTTCACTATGTAGTCTTGGTAGTGATTTATGAAATATTGAATACATGGGAATTTTATATAAGAGTTGCATTATATTGGATACTCAATTAAGCGATTTGATTATGTGTGATTGAAAGTTCCAAACTTCGATTCTATACTCAGCTAAGTCATTCTTTCTATCTAATTCTTTCATCTCTTGCTTTCTTTTTTTTAATGTTCTTTTTTTTAATGTTCTTTTTTTAACAAAACCAAAAAGATAGAAATCCATGCAATTTGAAAGCCTTGCATTGAATTCTCTATTTTCTATCTAAATCTATGAATTTTTATTTTTGTGAAACAAATAGAACTACAACTTATGTTACATTATTGAAAACTTTACAAACTATAATACTTCTGTGTTCATTTAAAATTGGTCTATTTGGACCCAACACCATACCCTACAATGCGAGGTTGTCCCACTAGTTAATAATAAATGTAGCAATAGCAATATACTCCATGTATCACTCACTGATCATCTGGGTTGCCATTGAACATTTTCCTGAATTGTGCCACCTTTAATGTTATAGCCATAAGTATCCAGTGTTTGACATCATCAACCCATTGAAAATATGCATATCTCCAACTTTTCACAAAAATCAAAGTTCCAATGACTCCCCAGAATCCAGTTGCAAAGCCTGACATTATGACAATGTAAAACCACATCCTTTTAAGTGCACCTTCATTGTTGTCCTTGAAGTTGGTGGTTGTCGAAGGCAGCGTGTCATTTAGGCATTTCTTCAGGAATGGAGCTCCACAAAGCTGAGGATTGCCGATGTAAATGGTTGGATCTTCGAGTGTTTGGAGTTGAGAGCTTATTGGAATTGGCCCTGACAAGTTGTTGTAGGACAAGTTGAGGTGGCTTAACTTGGTTAAACTTGACATGCTCTCTGGGATTATTCCTGAAAGGCCATTTTGAGAGAAATCAAGAGATTCCAAATTCTCCATTTGTCCAATTTTCTTAGGAATCTTCCCTGAGAGATGATTCCAAGACAAATTCAAATTGTGCAAATTCTTAAGGAAAATAAACTCCTCTGGTATGGGTCCTATTAGATTGTTACTTGAAAGATCCATACTAATCTCGAGTCCTAGAGTCATTCTTGTATACTCAAGGTATCTCCCTTTCACAACCTCCATCAAATGCGTCAGATCCCAATAAATATCATCTGCGATGTTGATCATTTTTGTTGCATTCACCATAACTGGAAACTTTCCAAAACAAGGAGGAATCTTTCCTATCAAGTTGTTATTTGCAAGATCCAGAATTTGCAATTGAGAGAGAGAGCACAATTCCAAAGGAATATAACCAGAAATCAAATTTTTTCGTAGTCGGAGAATTTTTAAAGCATTGTTCTCGCCCACTACAATGCTTGTTAAATTTCCAAAGAATTTATTCTCGCCCAAATCCAAAACTCTTAAAGAAGTCAAGTTTTTTAAGGCCACATGTAATTCCCCTTGGAGACTATTGTTGTTCAAGAGCAATACAAATAAAGATGAAAGTTGCCCCATTGTGCTTGGAAATAAACCCGAAAGATTGTTAGAAGATAGATCAATAAAATTGAATGATTGATCATTTCTCCAACAATTAGGAACACTTTCGGATAACATATTGTTTGAGAGGTCAAGAAATATCAAAGATTTTGAATTGCACAATGACTTTGGAATTGAACCATTCATGAGGTTATCTGTAAGAGATAATCCCTGAAGTTCTGGCAACATATGACCTATGTTTTCTGGAAGAGGACCTGAGATGCTAGCATTAGAGAGATCAACCATCATTGTTGTCTTGTGCAATAAAAGCCATTCAGGAAATCCTGTTCCAAATTTGCAAGAACCCATGTAGATGAAGGCAAGGTAGAGAGGAGGTCTCCAATTAGATTTCATCTCACAATTCAAGTTGTTAAACCCAATGTCAAAACTTATCAATTTGAATAAGTTTGCAAAGTGAGCTTCTGAAATGACACCTTCCAAAGAATTAACTGCAACAAGTAAGGCTTTCAGGTTGGAAAGTTTACTAATACTATGTGGAAGCACCCCATTCAATTTATTTGAGTCAAAGTTCAAATACTCCAAGTTAGAAAGTTGCCCAATGTTATTTGGAATACTCCCATTCAATTGATTTCTAGAAAGATCTATGATCTTTAACTTAGAAAGTTTCCCAATGCTATCTGGAATACTACCACTCAATTTATTGCCAGAAAGATATATTCCCCTTAACTCAGAAAGTTGCCCGATGCTATCTGGAATACTCCCACTCAATTGATTCCCAGAAAGATATATGCCCTTTAACTTAGAAAGTTGCCCAATGCTATCTGTAATACTCCCATTCAATTGATTCCCAGAAAGATCAATGATCTCTAACTTAGAAAGGTTTTTTATGCTATCTGGGATACTCCCACTCACTTTGTTGCTAGAATGAGATATGCCCCCTAACTTAGAAAGTTGCCCGATGCCATCTTGAATACTCCCATTCAGTTGATTGTTAGAAAGATATATGCTCTTTAAATTAAAAAGTTGCCCGATGCTATTTGGAATACTCCCACTCAATTGATTCCCAAAAAGATATATGCTCTCTAACTTAAAAAGTTGTCCAATGCTATCTGGAATACTTCCAGTCAATTGATTGCCAGATAGATCTATGCTTTCTAACTTAGAAAGTTGCCCGATGCTATTTGGAATACTCCCACTCAATTGATTCCTAAAAAGATATATGCTTGCTAACTTAGAAAGTTGCCTGATGCTATCTGGAATACTTCCACTCAATTGATTGCTAGAAAGATCTATGCTCTCTAACTTAGAAAGTTGCCCAATGCTATCTGGAATAGTCCCACTCAGTTGATTGTAAAAAAGATAAAGAAATGTTAATGAAGTCATGTTTTGGAGAAAAACAGGTATTGGACCAGGAAAAGAGTTCTGTGAAATATCGAAGTGCTGAATATTTTCAAGAAAGGTAAAATTAAGTGGATGGTTGTGAGGTGGCAGGTGAGAATTTTTTAGACTACAGTATGACAAACTTAACCATGATAGTGAAGGAAGCATGCCAAGTACTTGAAACAAGTTTGATGATGCGAGGCTTAGATTTACTCCACTCATATCAAGAAATATCAATGAAGTCATGTTTTGGAGAAAAATAGGCATTGGACCATGAAAAAAGTTCCATGAAATATCGAAGTGTTGAATATTTTCAAGAAATGTAAAGTTAAGGGGATGGCTACGAGATGGTAAATGAGAATTTTTTATACTACATTTTGACAGATTCAGCCATGATAATGAAGATAGCATGCTAAGTACCCGGAACAAGTTTGATGAGACATGGCTTAGATGTACTCCACTCATATCAAGTTGTTGTAAAGAGGAGAGATGAGAAATCCACCGAATGTCATCATCAACCTTCAACGCTCCACCATAATAGTCCGCAAGATCAAGAACATGAAGCCTCGTAAGATTTCCAAATTCACTTGGAATTCTTCCTTTGAAGTTCATAGAGGAGAGATTTAGGTACCTTAGCTGCTTCATCAAACCAAAGGAGGGTGGGATAAGGCTGCTGTTGACGTCATTTCCACTCAAGTCCAGGTGTTCCAAGTATCTCAACTTGAGCAAACTTGAAACAACCTCCTCTACATCATCAATCAAGTACAATTGAGGTTGATCAAATATGGATCCCCTGAGTTGAAGCGAGACAACATGTCCACTATTTTTGTCACAACCTACTCCTCTCCATTCACAACAGTCAATGCCTTTCCAAGAAGACAACATATCAGATAAATCATGGAAACAAAGTTTTAACTTCAAGAGGGCTTCTCTCTCCCCCTCTATACAACTGAAGCTCATGTTCCGACCGGAGCAAAACTCTCTAGCTCCAAAGAACAATACAGCCACTAGAATAAGCATAGCATGGAAAGTTTCCCTCATGATTATGGTTTCAATACTGTAGGAAAGATGGATGTGGTTTTTAATGTTGGTTGCACATTAATATGTAGTCTCATGGATAGGCAAGTTAAACACGTTTTCTGGAAGTTACACCATAAATGAAGATTCCAGGAAAGAAATTAAAGTAGCCAATTTTTGTATTTCGATCATTATCACTTAAGCGCGTTCGCCAAGACTTGGATGTCCTTTTGGTCCTTAAAGTCAATTTAATTAG